TGTAGATCCTAGCTCGACCCGGAGCGTCAAGGAGATCAGAAATGAGCGGAAGCGGATAGCGGTCGTGTTTAGTGATACAATTGAGACCACGGTAGTCGACACAAAGTCGAAGAGAGCCGTCCTTCTTCTTAGCAAATAGGATTGGAGCACCATGAGAGGATTTAGACGGGTAAATGAAGCCCGCCTTAAGATTCTTGTTGATGAAGTCGCGTAAGGCTTCGAGTTCGGCTTGGGAGATAGAGTAGAGGTGTCCGATAGGCGGAACAGCTCCGTCCTCAGTCTCGATGTGCAAGTCGAACTCTCTATGCGGTGGCAGATTATAAGCTTCAGTCTCTGAAAAGACTTCAGCGTAGTCATGGTATTCGGAAGGGAGTCCGTCAGGCGGGCCAGATGCAGAGGCCGCATTACCACGGACCGTCGGAACGGTGGTCCGTAAGGTATACTGAACGGTACCTTCTTGACGAATAGCTGCCGAATAAGCCGCAGCTGAGACAAGAGAGATGTGAGGGGCAAAAAGAGGTGAAGTGCCTTGACTAGAGGCCGAATCCATAGAAGGATCAGACTCCATAGAAGGAAGCAAGACAGGAGGAGGCGACAAGGGAGTGTTCAGATGTCTGCCGGAGTGTCGTCCGTAGAGGATGGTTTCTAAACCAAGACAGGCGTAGTTGCCAGTGGTGTCGACACAGGATCACTAGGAGTAGTGGAACGGAAAGAGATACTGCCTGCGGACCAGTCAATCAACGGATTGAAGCGGTGCAGCCAGTTGTATCCAAGAACTAGTTGACTAGGAGGATCAAGACGAGTGACATAGAAGTCCAAGATTTGAATGTCGCCAGAAGGGAAAAGAATCGGTAGCCGGACTTGGCTCCGAATGATAGAACTAGAGCCGTCGAGATATCGGAGCTTAACGGGCGCGATCGAGTAAGGCACAAAACCATATATTTTACACGCCTGAGCAGATATAAAACAGTGAGAGGAGCCAGAGTCGATGAGTGTCCGTAAGCGGGAGTTGAATCCCGCGGCAAGTGAAGAGAATACCGAAATATGCGTGGTTGAATACGCTTCGGGTCCGGATAGCGACTCCGAAAGAGGTCCGAGGGCGTCCACAGCAGAGAATAAGTCGAGATTAAGAGCGTTAGGGGAAAGGGAGGAAGCGTTGAGAAAAGCCTCGGGCCAAGTAGGGGCACTGCCAGAGTCAACACAACCCTGATGGAGTGCAGAGGCATCAGGGCTGCTGTCTATTTTTTTTGACTCGGCAGCGTCGGAGGCAGGAGCAGCCTCCGTGGTCGAAGCTTTGGCCTGAGCATTGGCCGGACGCTTCTTGCAATTGTCAGCCGTATGACCCTTACCTCCACAATAGAGGCAAAGGCCCTCTTTGATCTGACGTTCCTTCTCCGCAGCATTGAGATGGCCACCCTTCAAAAGGTGAGAGAACATCGAAGTCTTACCCTGGAGTTGTTTTCGTTACCGGACCCGGAGCCAGAGGCGTGATTGTTGCCCCCGTTCGACTTGTTGCTGCCGTTGCTGTTGTTGTTGCCTTTGGAGTTGGAGTTGGACGAACCAGAAGTTCCAGTCGATGAAGAACTGTATCCCGAAGACGACGAGTTGTTAGACCCGCCAGACTTCTTCCCACCACCCTTCTGGTTACCGCCACTGGAGCCAGACCCTCCGGAATCCTTGAGATTATTCTCGCGGATTATCTCCTCCTTGCGTCGCCAATAGCGAGTGTCGATTTTGACTGCCGCAAGGCGCACGCCGACCAGTGTATTCGCGTAGTCGACGCGAGAAAGCTCGTCCTTGATGCGTCGAGGAAGACCTTCGTAGAATTGGGATCGGAGGGCTTCCGGACCCCAGAAGGTGTGAGACGCAAGTCGAGTAAACTCGATCACATAGGTCGTAATCTTGTCCTCGCTCTTCATCCTCAAGATGCGGAATGATGCCTCCGCGTCACCAATCGGATCAGCCGGACCGAACGTAGTCTGAAGCTCTGATAAGAAGAGCTCCAAATTTCCGTCCCAGTACGGAACGGAGTCCGGATCGTCGCTGAACAGCTGGGGTTCAAACCATGACAAGGCATTACCTCGAAGGTAAGAGAGGATGTAGACAATCTTCTCCGAGTCCGTAGTGAACTCAGAGGGACGTTCAGCAAAATGCAAATAGCATTGAGTGAGGAAGGGACAAAGCTTTAAAGGGTCAGAGCCTTCGAAAGGCTCTGGGTTACGGAGATTGGACTTTCCGTTTCGAGATGTCTTGAGGGAGAATTGTTGAGCCATGGCCTGATTTTGCGACATAGTGTTGATCGCAGCAGCCAGGGCAGCCAGACCAGAAACGATGCTAGCTGCCATTCTTTCTCCATCAGTAGGTCCCCTAGGTGCCGGAGGGGCACCCGGACCACCAGGACCACCAGGCGGATTACCTCCCGGAGGACCTCCGCCTCCAGGACCACCGCCGCCAGGACCACCAGGTCCGCCGGGGCCACCTCCTGGGCCACCGCTGCCACCCGGACCGTCAGGTCCGTCAGAACCATCAGGACCATTTGGGTCATCTGGACCTCCAGGGCCACCAGGACCTTCACCAAGCGGGCTGTTACGACCGTTGGTCGAACCAGGCCCATTTCCACCTGGCCCACCAGGATTAGTAGGGCCAGAACCAGTACCATGTTGTTCCTCTGTTTCAACAGGAGGAGGAATGGTTTCAGCTTGTTGCTCTACCTCCTCATCGATTTGGGAAAACCGGTTGTGATCCGGAATTTCCTGAGCCAGATCGGCCAGAAGGGTTCCGCGCAAGCCAGAGACATCAGCATTGAACTGCCGAATAGGGTTGTTGACTGGGAGAGGCGGAACAGGCGGATCTATATAAGTCGAGAGGTGAGGAGCGGAGCGTCGTCCGAAGTTGGGTTCTAAGGACTGACGTGCTGAAGGGCGCAAAGTGACGTACGAAGCGCCTTGAGGCAACGGAGAAGGCGAGATTGGTTACTGAATGGGGGCGTGGAAAGCAGGAGGGGTGTTGTACAGATTCCCAGGGGGAAACGAAGAAAACAGAGCAGAAGAATGTCGATCAGCTTGGACTCGTAGATTTAGGCCCTCGTAGAAGTTAACCAGAGGAGCCGGAGGAGACGACTGTTGAGGCCATCCCGGAAGAGTCGGAAACCGACGAGGATTGTTGGGGGGTGAGAAATGTTGTTGGGAATTGTCGTAAGACATGAGGGAAAAACAGAGCCAGACAGATGAGCTTGATTATACTGTCAAGTGCCGTGCAGAACAGAGGGGGTTTCTACTATAGCTAACAAGCCAGTAGCTGCCTGACACAAAAGAACACAAGACCAACCGGACCAGAGCGGAGTCAGAGCAGACAAGGTCCGCGAGCGGAGAGAAGTCCGGTTGAAGGACAAGAGAAGAGAGGAGAGTTGTCGGAGTCGTTCCGCACAGAAGAGGAGTGCAAGTAATGTTTATAATCAAGCTAAAGTACCGTAGCTACTTTAGCTGCTTAAATACTACGAGTAAGTAGAAAGGGAAGACCATAAGTAAGTACAAGGTACGGAGTGCATATGGAAAGTAACAAGCATAAGGACATACGGAGATATAAGTAACAAGGCGAAAGACATACAAAGTACAAGGTCGCCAGAGCGACCGGATCGGATCGGGCCGGAGCCCGGGCGTGACCGGTCCGCGGGCCGCGGCTCTTGACGGATGCACGGATATGACAAAGTAAGTATATGGAACACATATAAAGTCTTCAGATTGTACATAAATCAAAGCTGATATCAGTTGGCCATTTTATAACCATAATCTATTGCAAATAAATACACAAATATAAGACCAGTAATTGATTCAATATGGCAGTCATGTGTCATTTCTGGTGGCCTTTCGCACTGCTGAATATATAGAAAAATCCGGAAGCAAAAAATTTGAAAAAGAAAATCAGGTCTTCTACATTGCAGTTGCCTGAGAGGGAAACTGGGGCTTTTTTGCAGCTCTTTTCTATTATGATATTACTTTTCTTTTTTCTATTTATATGTTCCTGTTATTAGACTTTATTAGCAACTCCAAAAAATGATTGCTTAGCATTTTTCTGGCCCTCTAATTAGTTGAGAGGCCCTACGCAAGCATAAGGGAGGGATTTTTTCCACTGCTAATAAGCTCTATTTCCATCAGGTCTTTACTACTAGTATTATTTTCAATACAACTCAGAACCTTTGGCACAGCTGCCTCAGGCTGGAACCTTGATTTTTGTCCTTGACAGTGATGTTTTTTGTATGCAAGCAAGCAGTCAGACAACTACTTATTGTTTAGCCACCATTGATCGCTATTGCCAAAGTAGACATCCAATTATAAGCTAACCATATGAGAGTTGGCTATCATTGATAGCAATGTCCTAGTACATTGTCCTTCTAAGTTTATGTTGATTAATCACACTTCTTGATTTAGCTAGATACAAGTGCTTGCCTCTAAAGTATTAATATACGAGGGAGGTGAGTTACTTGTTCTTTGTAGAATACAACTTTTAATGTGTAATCTTAATTAAAGCCTTGGATAGGTTATATGCTGAACAGAAAATTACTTCAAACCTCCCACACACCAAGATCAACCCAACTTATAGAGGTATACAAAATGTCAATAGAATTTCTTGCTATCTCATTGCACGGTTGAATAATGAAGAATTTGCCCCAAGTTTCTATCTCAAATAAACATTATTCTGACTCTTTATACTTGTAGAAAGTAGCCTATGTCCCATGTGCATGCAACATATTTGGAGTTCAGCAATCGGATTGACACTTGTCTGATTTTTACAAAAAAAAATATGTAAAAAATATTCAGTTTTATCTCAATTCCTGGGAGCGCAGAACAGAAGCTGCTGCTACCACTTGGTTTTGATCCACTAACATCGTTTGCCCATTCATGTTCTTCTGTCCAGCTTCTGGTGTGTTGATACAACAATAAAAACACAAATCGAATGTCGTACAACAAATCCTCCAAGAACCAGTGATCTAGATTGTCCGTTCACGATATCCCCAGAACCCCCACAGCCACAACAGCTACGACGGTAACAATAGCACTCAGCCAGCTTCTGATTCTCACCGCATCGCTCTTGCCCATGGCCAGCGCCGGACATGCCCCCCCGTTCTTGTGCAGCATCGTCGCCGGAAGCAACACCTTCGGCAGTCCCCCGGTCGCATAAATCGTCGTGTCGGCAGTAGCGTTACTGCCAATTTGGACTCGTTCGCAGGCAAGAACGTCGACAAGGGTGGTGTTAGCGGGGTAGGTACCGGCAGGTATCCTCCACCTTGGTTGGGCGGTACTGTTGGTGCCGGCCCCAATGTTAGTGAGGAGGGCGAGGAGTGGATGCTTGGATAACATGATGGAGCTGGGGTCGGGTTGCGGAAGCCATTGCGACTATTGAGGCTTCAGAAATGAGCAAGGAAAACAGTAGATGATACATACCCTTCTTTCCAAGAACGTCTTGTTTCCTGCCATCGCAAGCTTGCGAGCCGCATTTAGAGACGTTACATGCGCCACCAGTGGCTTGTCGGACCTATACCCACTGAGCCAGAGTCTACTTGTGGTCAATATAGCTCTTGACAATGCCAAAGAAAACGACTCACGCCTCCCGATTGCTTGGATCTACAGCGCCCTGGTACCCCTGCTCCTGCCCATAATACAATATAGGTATCCCATCCGCAACGAATGGCCAGACCATCGCGTTCATAAGCAACGCCGTGTCTGAAGTCAACGATGGAAACCTCGGTTGATCGTGGTTCTCTAAAAACGACGCAGTAAGGGCAGCGCTGCCATTCAGACTCGTCGTTGAGGCAGCGAGAGTATTAAGCGAAGGTGTGGCGAGCAAAGCAGAAAGGTTCCCGTTCGTGCTGGCAAAGGCAGTGATGAGGGCATACCAAGCCGGGTATTCCAAGACAGCATCGACAGCATCGCCGATGTAAGACGCCACGTATGTGGCGTTATCGGTAAGCACCTGATTGTCATAAGAAGCGGAATAAGATGGAAAAGAGGAGATACACACCTCGCCGAGGGTGAAAACACCAGCACTATCACTAAAGCCCCGCCAAAAGTCCTTCCTCACATGCTTTACTGTGTCGATTCGGACTCCATCCGCGTCATACTCCTTCACCATCGTCTTGACCCAGGAATACATTCGTTGCTGGACATCATTATCCTCCGTGTTGAGGTCCGGTAAGGGTAGCGACGGGTCTCCCAACCAGCATTGCTCAACATCGCTTTGGTTCGTGTAGTCGATAATAAAGCAGGGCTGGTGGAAATCAGTGGGCGAGGAAAACGGTGCGAGGTTGGTGTAATTGAGGATAAGGTCAGCCGCCGAAGCTGCGTATTCCGGCGAGGTTGTGGAGATACTACTTGGAGCTGACAATGTCGAGGTCGGAGTGCTTTTCAGTGGTGGGGCAGCGAAATGGTTGACAACGACATCCAGCATGAGGTACATGCCGCGTTCGTGGAGCGCCTTGCTGAGCTTTTTGAGATCGCCCGCTGTTCCGAACCGCGGACTCGGCGTGTCGATGTCGAGCGACCAATAGCCATGGTATCCGTCGCCATATGCTGTTCCTTCCACATTGGTGGCAATGGGCGAGATCCAGATAGCGTCAAACCCCATGGACTGAATGTAGTCGAGGTGATTCGTGATCCCTGTCCATGACCCGCCGCAGAATGTTCGATTGCCGGTGTCGCATGGGACGCTCGCTGAAGAGGAAGGGAGAGCAAAACGGTCGGTGACAAGCTACAAAAACACATTGGCTCAATAACCTTGCCGAGAATAACCACACACTTGGTATATTGACCTTGTGGCCCAATCAGCAGCGGAAGCAGCAAGCGAGGGCGCCGGCGAGATGAGGAATAAGAGTTGAGAGACCCGCATTGCTGCGAGGGAGCAAGAGAGCGCGTCACAAACGGGCCGCTCAGGTTGCTGTCAAAAACTCTTCAAAACTCCTGTCTTTGTTTAGACGCCAGCCAAATGACGCACCATAGCCCATAGTAGTAAAAAGAGCCGCTTGAAGGATCCCACCGTCGCTATATCCGGTCCTAGTCTGTCTGCTCAAGTCCTTCATCGGCATGCCGACTATAGGCCAATGTCAGAGCTGCTCCGCTCGTAAGACACTAGGAAGGCCCTGCACGTGCTGGAGAGTGGGCTGCAAGTTGGTTGTGGTATCTTCTGAAGAGGGTAGGATGGGTTTCACGATGGCTTTGAAGGCGGGCCTAAAAATGTCGTGTCTGCATGGGTTGAGAGGCTTGCACGGGGGTGGTGCAAAAGGAAACATACAGAACGCAGAGCTCGTTACATGGCGCATACTATTGGCTTGGATGATTGGCCTACTTATCGGCCAGTGAGTTTGCAGGACGAAGGCGTCAGCCGTCACTGCTGTCACACCCTGTTACTTTCCTTTTCTTGCGCTCCCGCCAGGCACACTTTGCATAAGTTGACGACTTTCGCTAATTACTCTCGCCTGCTAGATCTGCTCGAGGGCTAATTTGCCTGCCAAATTATAACTAACTAGTAACAGGCTAGATCTTGCTCGTGAAAACCGCGTATATATCAGGCTCAAAATACTCATTCGTATCATACAACATCAGTCTTATGCAGTAACGGCGCCAACATGAAACCTTGATCTGCGGAAGCCTGCCAGTGAGGTGAAAAGAAGAGCCAGAGGAGAACCCCCGAAGAACCACATTTGAACCACATGCTCACGGGACAGTGCCACAGTGGACACCTTTACGCCCAATGGCAAATGCGCCATCACGAAGATCTAGTCGCAAAATACATCAAGATATCGACCGCAACGGTAGCTGGGTGCTAGCCATTCTGCTCGCCAACGAACCAGTGCCACTTGCCCACTCTCCCTTGTTCCAGCCAAGGACAGTCTCGTTAGTTTCACTTCTTGGGGACTTCCTGATGCTAACTCGTTTCATCTGGTAAACACCTGTTCTGCATTGGTACTGAACGTGATCGAGAGGGTCGTTGGATTTCAAGTCCAGCCCAAGGCATCCTCAAACCCCCCCCTCGATAATTCCATCCTCGTTGTCGACGCCTTGAGAAGGCGGAATCCCTCCGCCAATCAAGACGTAATCTTTAACCGGCGTTGATTAAGTCAAGTCCCTTGCCGTTGGCGGCGTTGCCACCGAGCCCTGGACTGCGGCAATCTAGAAGAGACACGAAAAGCTTCTTGTCCCCGCCTTTCTCTCCCTCTCTTTTGCTCTATGGCGCTGGCAGGCAACTTGACAAACTCGGTCATCCAGTTGACACCTGCCTCCGCCGCCTTTGTCCGGAACCGTGTTGACACGCTGGGACCATGGGTGCGCAAAGCAATATCCTGTCGACTATACTGACGAAATACTCAGGTCCTCGGCGCGTTTTCGGACTGCATCCTGCTTGGAGTCGTCTTCTCCCAAGTGCGGACATTCTTCGTGACCCGCGCTGTCGGGCGGACGCTGTTTCAGCGGTACTGCTATTGGATGGTATGGGTTGTGCTAGGCCTGTCTATCGCCAAGACGGTGCAGGAAATGGCCGTCGTGAGTCCGATTCCTGCCGATTTTTCCGAGTAGTCAACTGAAGTAACATTTAGGTATGGGTGCTGCATGTCCACGACTACGCCAATCCAGGTTAGCTGCAACTTTATTCTCTTGTGCGGCTCATGTGAATACTTTCAGATGTTGCGCGGACGCGTGTTTCCAGTGCATGGTGGCAAGTAACTACTCCGTTAATGGTGTGTTCTTCACCTTTCCTTTCCGTTCCCTCATTGTATCCACGAACAGACGGGCATCATCGGGTTTACCGTTCAGGTGTGTGTGTGCTATCTTGTGTCTAGCAGCACAGCTCAAATAATCCCATACAGTCATTCTTTTGCCTTCGGTAAATAATTCCAACCCATAATATGAAGATCTTCATGCACTCACGGTCCCAGCTTTTATTTACTTTTGAGAAACTGGCTATTCGTGCTTCCCATAGCGTCTGCGATGCTGTTAGGTATCACTGGTATTAGTCTGGCTGTGAGCAGCGACAACTTCCTCCATGATTTCACCATTCGCTCTAACTCTTTTGGCAGGTCTTCTACATCATGAACGACGACGCTATCCTGAAAGTCCGTTGGTTATCAGTGTGTCATTGTCTTTTTTGATATTCGGGAAATAACAGCTTCGCAGATTCATCTGGTTGGCGTTTTCGTCGCAGACCTCCTTATCACGACGGGGACATTGATGGCACTAAGGAAACGAGCCCGTGGTCTTGAACGGTACTATTTTGTCTAATCTCGACAACTCGAAGCTTGAGATTGATTTCTGGACCCAGGACGACTGTGTTGATCAACCAGCTAGTCAGGATGGTTTTCGAAAGGTAAGCACGACCCACCCAATGGATTTTTTGTAGTCATCAACCCCCACACAGTGCTATTCCACCAACGGTAACTTTGAAATTCATGCGCGACCTACGCTTTTCGAAGTTTTCCGCAGGTCATTGCAGCAGTGGACCTCATTATGACCCAAACGCTAGGCGGCGGCCCCAAACTTCTTTGGCATCTGCTGCTCAATTTCACGCAAGTGTACCCTCACCTCTCCGTCGGGCCTATCCTCAACTTCTACAGCTTGGGCAAAGTCTACGTCATCAGCCTGCTTTACACGCTCAACTCGATAAACGAGTACCGCCAGAAGCATTCCGACACCAGCAATCAGGAGATCATCACTGCCGACGGTCATACCATACTCGGGATGAGCGGCGCACGGGTCTCTCGCTCTTTTACTCAGTGTACAAATGTCTCTAATGTTTATCCTAGCGGAACAACGTCGAGCTGGGACACCTCTCGCGGAGCGGACTGGGCAGCGACCGTCCGGGCTCCGAGAGCAAGATTTTCATCCAAACGCAGGTTTCCACCCATGTCTCCCCCTCATCTGTGCAAAAACGACCGATAGAGGTATTGTCCCCGTCCCTATATATACGCTCTACCGGTTCTCACTTTGCTGTAGCTACACAAGCCACAACTCGACAATGGGCGGTCGTCGACCCTGCTTGAAGATGAGCCGGCGTTCGTGGCGAAGGCGTATTGACCGCATTCTCTCCTGTTGTCTGCTTCATATTTTGGTTGCTTCGGTTGTGGTATATTGGGCTTGTGGGACATATATACTTGTGAAGCGTGTATGGTCAAATGGGAAATTATCAAGTTTGTAAGGTGCTCCAGATGGGAGAGATGGCAGTACTGTCGGTAGCAATGAAGCAACGGAGCAGAGAAACTAGATACATAAAGTGATCTGCGAAAGGGGGAATGTGTGGTACTTAGTGTCGAAATGAGTGAAGAGCTTATCGTTGCCGTGGAAATTGTCTCCCAGAGTAGAAACCAAAATGACTCTGCCACAAACTCTCAACACCCGTGTTGATGAAAAGACTGCCTTGATGATGTAGGAAGAGCAGGATAATCGTTTTTTGTGCAACTCGCGCAGCCGTTTCCCAGATATTACGCCGATTTCCAGCCATCGATGAGAATGTGCTTGCATATAGGATGAGCGACTTTCTTCCCCGAGCAATTTGGGCCCATCTTGCCTGCGCGGGTGCTGAGCCTGAGAACATGCTCGGAAGATGCCTTCGGGCGGGAGGTTCGAGGGGAAAATGTCGGTGGTCGGTGAAGGCATGGTGATTTATGAGGGGACAGTATCGATATAGAGTCGTGCATCGTATACACCCAGCAATGGAAAGGTTCTCTGGGACAATGTGACAGAAGGGATGTGCATGGTGAGCCTTCGGAGCAGTCGGATCAAGGGAAGGAGTAGGGGCGCCGTAGACGTAGATGGTTCCGGATAGCTTTGAGAGGCCCCAACCGCGAGGTGGAAACTGAGATGACCATTGCACTAAGTGTTTTGAGCTTTTTGGCGATTGACGATCCTGTCCATACCCTGTTGGTGACAATAATCGTCAGTATTGGGCATAGGACGGTAACATAACGACACACGCGACACGACCATAGCGAGTACTAGTATCACACCCCAGTGCAAGAAACTTGAAAATAACCGTCGTTCTGGATTAGTGAAGGAGAATTAAGACTCGTTCAAGAAACATACCGAGATTTTGCGTGCTGGTTTGGTGGAGATTGATATTATGCCGTTCTAAGCCATAGAGGCCATGGATGCACTTCTGAAACCTGCAGAGAGAGTTTTCACTGCCGTCCAACGTGCCCTTCTTCTTCTTCGAGCTCTCGACACAGACCCCTGCGTGAACCTGAATATACACCCTCCCTCCTTCTTGTGCCTGTTGAATGGCCGAACGTGACTACTCCGTCTTGCGATCCTATGGCCAAATGTTTCCCAAGTGAAGTCGGTCTATCAATTGGCAACGCACGAAATTTACACCATTAGCCCATTTCAGTGTTAGCGGCCTTCTTCCATGGTACTACATCGAAGCAAGAGAAGGAACAATGAGCGACACTGATCATAGTGGTGGTGGCTGCATCGAAGAAGTTATTTGTTGTGACAACGCTCAGGCTGATTTCTAGCGTCCATATCCACTGAATCAATCCTGTTCTGTTTCATGGCCTTCTATGACTTCGACGACTTCGACCTCCGACAATTGCGCCAAGAGGTTGAAACCATCGATAGAGCGATTGACGCGGCGAGGTCCCACCTCGCGCAACTCGAAGCCCGTCGAAAGGCAGTGGACGATAGGCTTTCGACATTTGGCTACCCCATCCATACTCTTCCTCCAGAGATCTTGATCCACATCTTTGAGGCAGCGGTCTTCTCGTCGCGGCCCCAGGAAGTCACCTCCCTACTGCTCAGCATCACTGCCGTTTGTCAGCAATGGCGCAACGCTGCTATCGCGGACGCCTGGATCTGGACTACGCCGTGCTATTTCTTGGGGAGCCGCAGACACAGAGACCCACTGTTTGAATACTTCCTGGAGCGGGCCCAGGGGCTCCCAATTGAGCTGTCCATTGACGCGCGCGGCTTGTACACGCTCCCCGGAACGCTCTTTGCCTCTTGCCACCGCTGGACCACTGCGAATTTTTCCACCGACGAGCGCACGCTATTCAGGATGCACTCCAAAACCGTTCTCGATCTTCCGCATTTGACCAAGCTGACGCTTGATCTTGATATCCCGGGTTCAAGTTGGTTTACTTCGGACATGCAGCAGAGGTTTGCAAACGCGCCGCAGCTCCGAGACCTAGCTATCAGCGACGCGGTCTTGGTTCGCAAACTCGGATTTCCGGTTCAACAGCTTCACCGACTGAGAACCCTCCGGCGGTCATCGTGTCGGGAGGTCCTCGCCCTCCTCCCTGACCTCGTGTCGCTAGACCGACTCACGCTTGACGCACTCGTGGATGATGTAGACAGCACGCAACCAATCCAGGCGCTGCCTCTCTTGACCATGTTACAGCTCAATGGAGAGGAGAGCTGCATCATCATGCGCTATCTGAATCTCCCAAACCTCAAAACGCTCCATCTCGCCGACCTCACCACTTATCACCGAAACCGCCTCGTCCCGCTGGCAGACTGTATCCTCCGCTCGTCGGCAGTTGTCGCCTCGCTGTTGCTCACCAACACATCCTACGACTACCTCAGCCAACTTTCGCAATGTCCTACCCTCGACCACTCTCTCACGGAGCTCACCATCGATTCGTTACAGACCACCTATCGCGTGGAGAAGTCGCTCGTTTCAGCCTTTACCCGAGCCGAGTTTTTTCCCGCTCTCAAAGTGCTGACCCTCGTCATGCCGTTGTCCTCCAGTATTATGGCTCTCCGCCCCTTCTTCAAGTTGACCGGAATCAGTCGCCGGATGGCCGCCGCAATCTCGGAGGATGGGCAGGATGAACTGAAGCTCAAACAATTCCGTGTGCAGCTTGGACCGGAGGGTACTTCTGCTGAGGACCTACGCCAGCTGCAAGAGTTGCAGCAGCGCCTGCAGCTGGAGACATCCTGATGAAAGTTATTCAATATCGATGAATAATAACAGCAATTCCGGAAAGGTTCACTTATATGATCCAGGGCCCTGATATATGTTATATAAGGGCATATTCACCATATCAGTGCATTTTTTTTTGGCACAAATAGAGGTGATTTTTTTTTTTTTGGATACATTGATATTAGGTGTATAATTGATCGAAACGGGCGCTGTTTATTCCTGAACTCCCACAGTGCCTTGTGCACTATTCACCAATCCATTAGAAGTCCACATGTTTTTAGTGATCATAACCTTTGCACCCTCTGAGAGGAGAATCATAGGATGTAACCCTTCTGCATTTTCAGGAGATCCTTTCTTTTACAAAGCCTTGTTTATCTGATGGTGTGTAGCTTTACACCGAACTATAGGTTTATTGAGTTTTGCCAAATTTCGAAGATTAGCATCTTCAACAAGTTTATGAGTTGGCAGCAAGTGAATAACATCACTGAAAGTAGCATGCCCTGATTTGGGTGCACGTGACTTGGAAATTACCAAATAAGGTAATTTCCAGATGCTCGGAAAGGCCTGGGAATGCCAGCCCATGGCATATACTGTAGCATTTTATTCAATTTGGCGCCGAAATGAAATTTTCAGCGTCCTGAGGCTCCAAGTGTGACCGCCGAAAGATTGGCCACGCCAACCAAAAATGGTAGATCAGCCAAGGGAATTCAGCATCTGGGCTGTGGAGCATGACCGCCAAAAAAATTTCAGCATTTTAGGGCCGGTGTGATGCGTGACTGCTGAACTAAATAAAATGCTACAGGAGGGTGCCTAAAATCAAAAATGGCACAGAATAACAAATCAGACTGTTACGCAAGACCCTGTATATGGAAGTTCTGCTTACCATATACATGAAATTTCTTTAGAAATTGACATTCTGGGACAGTTTGGGAGCAAAGAAAATTTGACAGGCAGAGAAGATTTTAGAAAAATTGTCAATGTCACATTGACAGGATTACTTGACCTTGACTGGATTAGTGGAGTATATTTTTAAAATAGTGTTTATGTATATAGCTGACAGTTATGAATAGTTTTGTAACTTGGAAATTATTTATTTGTTTGATTGACCTGCGCTAACAGAGTAAGCCATCTAAGGCGGTCAGACCTACCAGAGCAATAAGGGGGTTAGACTCACATAAGCTATCTTGCACACATTCTGGTTGGGATTCTAATCAGGAGAGTGTGCAAGCAAAATTCTGCTTTCGAGAAGTGCTGTACTAATCCGACACGGCCGGGCTCGAACGGCCAGCGGGAATTGCAACTCAGATTGTGTGACTGGCGTCACCAGCGACCGACACACTGTAAATATAGAAATTTAGTGCTTGCTTAAAATGCTCCTTAATGAACTTGTTGAAGTGCTTCTTACAATGTCAGCTTCTAAGAGTGTTTTAAGCTTGTCCTAAAGTTATTTTCTAAATCACTGGTTTAAACATCTGTTTAAGCATGAGCATTATTGGGTCTTTTAAGCAACATCCTAAACAAATACTAAAAGGACTCATTTAAGCATCTTGTTTAAGATCTACCAAAAATTCAAGAAGTGACTTAAACTTCAAATTTTGGTAGATCTGCAACAAGATGCTTAACTGAGTCCTTTTGGTATTTGTTTAGGATGTTGCTTAACAGACTAAATAGAATTCATGCTTAAACAGATGTTTAAACTAGTGGTTTAGGAAATAACTTTAGAAAAAACTTAAAACACTCTTGTAAGCTAACATTATAAAAAGCACTTCAACAAGTTAATTAGGTAACATTTTAAGCAAACCCAAAATTTCCATATTTACAGTGTGCGAGGACTGCACAGAGACCGGCCGACCGAGTCGGTATGCATGATACTGATTGACAATCATCATGGGAGATGACACCACGCTCAGGCTGTGCGGACGGGTTACCCACTGTGTTGCAGCACTGCCCCGATACCGGGAGTATGTATAGCGAGCACCCTCGCCCGCGACGCCAGTGCGCCCACCGCCATGCCACGCCGGATCGTGGTCGACGACGCCTCCCCCCGCATCCAGTACGGCCCCGGGTGGGCCCCCGCAGACATCGCTCCGCTCAACAAAATGGGGAACTACGGCCCGGTGTTCCGCGGCACGACGCACCGCACCGCCGCCGACGGCGCGCAGCTGCGCTTCGCGTTCGCGGGCACCGGCGTGCGCGTCGCCGGGTCGATCGACGTGATAAAGCTTGCGAACGGGACACGTGACCCGACGTGGGCGTGCACCGTCGACGGGAAGGCAATCGGGCAGCAGAACCCGACGTTTGGGTTCCCGGAGAACAACTGGGAGCTGTGTGCCAGTGCGCAGGGGGACCTGCCGCCTGGGGAGCATACGCTCGAGGTCACGGTGCACACTGCCGGCCGGCCGTTCTATCTGGATGGCATCACGTACCGCCCGGAAGAGGACGCGGACGGGCCCGGCGCGATTGTGGAGTATACGAATACAGACGCGAATGTCACGTTTTCGGGGGCGGGATGGCGCCGCTGGGGCGCGCAGAACGTCACAAATGCCAGCAGGGCCCAGGTCGCGCTGGATTTCTACGGTACGTCCAAGGCTCCGAGTTGTTCCCCCTTTTGCACGCCTTACACCGGGCCGACAGGCACGGAGGTCACGATGATGGGCTTCATCCCCATCGAGCTCGCACACAGCGCCACATCAGCGTCCTACGTCATCGACGGCGCCGACCCGCGCCCCATCACGCTCGCGGGCATCGCGCCGGGCATCACCGTCTCGCAATGCAACGCCGTCATCTTCTCCGCCGCCGGCCTCGCCCCCGCGCCGCACCGTCTCGTCCTCACCTACCACGGCGACGCGCAGCACACCCCGCTCCCCGTCGGCGTGTTCCACGTCAACGCCGGATCCCCCGCCGGCGGGCCCGCTCCCAGTTTCACTAACACTGCCACCGGCAGCACTCCCAGCCCACTGGCAACATCCACCTCCGCCTCCCCGGGCCGCCACGCGCCGAACCACACTGCGCTTATCGTCGGGCTCGTCCTCGGCGGCCTCGCCATCCTCGCCATCATGATCATCACCGGAACCGCTCTCTGCCTGCGCCGCCGCCGCGCCGAACTCCGCGCGCTGGATCCTGATCCGTTCGCCAGCGACTCGGACCGCGAGCGGTGGCCCGTGGAAAAGCAGCACACGAAGCCCCAGGCTGCGCTTCCTCTGGGCCCTCCGATAGAGCCCGCATCACGCGGCCGGCGCCACGCGCCACGGCCCGGGCCGAAGGCACCGCCGAGGGCCTGGGGGCGGCTTCATCAGGACAGCGGCGGGCGACTCGGATATGGCGGACCGCGGCCGGTCGGGCCACGGGACTCGGATGTCCCGCCCATGTACACGCGGCACTGGAGTCCCCTCCTGATCGCCAACTCTGCTGACTGGCACAAGTAGACACTTGCACCGATAGCCGCGAGAAGAGCGCAAAATCTATTATACAAAGAGAGGAAGGGTGGCTGTGCTTACCAAAAAAGGAAGAGCCAATCAGTTGTCTATCCCGATTTGGATAGACAACTCAAGCACCCTCAAAACCAATGTAAACAGTGGTTGTAGCCACAGGAAAGTGTATGTAGACATTGAATACACTTCAAATACCCTGTATGTACTATTTTTAGCACGAAAAAGGACCCGGTTTTGAGCTTTTGAGGCAGGGAGTATGATCAACCATATCCGCCATGTTCTCTGCTGAAACCACAGACCACCACTGGAAGCTGGGGGGATCCTTTACAGTGCCATTGGGTGGCCTATACAGTGGCCTCATAGCACCAGTAGCTTCCCTTCTCGCTGGCCCCCGCCATCTACCTCCACTTGCGAGCACTTAGCTTGAGCCGCTTAACTCAGCCCGGTCATACCCGAGGTCATGTGACTCAGACAACCACTTTTCGCGCTACCATCTTAAAATGTGTGTAGAATGAAAAACTTATTGCTGGCTGTTGGTTAGGACACAAGCTCAACGAGTATCATGGGGCCCAGGCTATCCACTCACCAGCACCAACCCCCTAAATGGATCAAACTCTCAAGGGGTGCCAACAGGGACGTTGACAGGCAGCACGAGCCTCTCAATGTAAGCACCTCTTCTCTACTATACAGTATCTAACATGTCTTCAAGTCTCATGGGCAGAACTCCACATACATTGTTGGCTCAAACTAAATATGTACAAGAATATCTCAATAAGGCTTACAAACAGGACAAAAAAAAAGTAGAAAACTGAGAGTCTGGGCCGCGCGCTGCCGAGCCCGCGAGGCGGCGGTGCGGCCCGTTACAATCTGTTTGTACAAACAAAATTTGAATATAGAGTATGCTCAATTTATTTAACTTTCCGTTGCGTGGCACGGGCAACCCCTAGTAAACTGTACATTTATCATAGCCGCGGCACCCAGCACGCGCCGCTATAATCCTAGATAGATCATTGAATATCTGCAAGATATAAGTATAACACTTTTGATCTGATGATCTGCAATCAGAAAAAGACACAATCAAATTCAGAGAAAAAATGTAAACTTCTAGCGAGTACTGTACAGAAATCAAGTTGAGATGCATTCTGCTTAGTAATAAAAGCTGGGCCTATGTTGTATGTATGTAACCACAAGAGCGCAAGTTTGTGGACAATATATATATATATATGTATATATCAAGGGGGAAGGGAGACAAAAAATTGGCACGGTAATGGTGTTTGTAGTCCCAAAGGAGTGATAGAAAAAATCGGCCAAAGAGGGGGGAAAAGGAAAAGGGAATTCAATGTTTATAGTGTATCTAGGTATAAAATCACACTAATTCCTACTGAAATTGGGTCCAGGCTTTATGTCTAAGTTTATCAAGAGGGAAAAAGGGAGAAAACCTAGGAATACTATAACACACCTTGTACACCACATGCACTACTGTAGCAATTTAATCAATTTGGTGCCCCAAGCTTGGGTGGCAACATAGGGAACAGTGTCACCACCTTTGCAATGTGGACCAACATCATGAAAAAGACTCAGACCATATATGAAATTGCAGTCACATGCACTAAACCTTTGAAGACTGAGGAGATGGGCTGAACTAGGGCTGTAGGCTGTCGCCGTAATATACAGCGTACGGCCGGCCGTAATACGGCGCCATAATCATACCATAAGGCCCCTTGGGGACCGAGTTGACGGTATGGCGATGGGACGTCAGTGACGCCATAAGGGCCGTCCCGTATACGAGACGGTAGTCCGGTATCGGACCCTGGGCGCCGGTTGCTAGGGCCCAGCGGCTGTTGGTGGTCAGCCGGCCCCGGCCCGGTCGCTGGGAGCCTGACTTTGGCCCAGGTCACCGTGTGACCTGGCCGGTCGTACCGTCACCATAATACGGCGTGACAGCGCTGTCCCGTACCGTAAGCGCCCGTACCGTACATGGCTGTAGCCATATACGGTATGCTCTACAGCCCTAGGCTGAACTGATTTGTTGTCCGCATCAGCACCCTGTGACTAACAAAATCTAGTTGTCAGATCAGCATGGTGACACATGACTGACAAATTGAATAAAATATATAGTACAGTATTATATAAGTGTGAATACCGTCCTATTTAGGTCAAGTGTCCGCGTTACGCGTTACATTGACTAAAAAAGTTCTTGTCAAAAAATCGCAATAAATCAAAAGAAAAATATTTGGTCCCAAATTTCGAAAAAAAAGTGCCAGACACTTGATCGAAATGGGACAGTAGGACTTAGTAGAGGTTTGGGGAATAGTATAGAAGGGGGACTGAGTACTGTACTACTTGTAGAAGTCGAAGTCAGTTGGGCATGTATGTCAGGGGAACCTCCACTTCGGCCTCCTTCAGACCGTCCCAGCGCATCCGAGGCACATCCGACCGGCGCCCCCTCGGACGCTCCAACCCACCCCGACCATCGTCCACGGCCTCCTTCGCCCGCACAATCACCGATCCGTCAAGACCCTCCCAACGATCACCTTGGGACAGAGCCTGCGACGCCGCTCAGGTTTTCTGCGCTCTACGTCGGCAGTTACGGACGACCAGTATATAGTTGGCACCCTAGCAGGCGGACCCTTAGAGTTTCTTCTCTTTGGATCCTCCCCTGCTAGGTCAGTCCCTCCGTGTACTTCCATAGCTTTTATTCACGCTTTGGATCCTCCCCTGTTAGGCTTTTGTCGGAGTCTCCAGGGTTGCCCTTACAATGTAGAGTGAACAACTATATATTAAAGTACCTGTAGAAGTAGAACTTTACATCCAGTAAGTAAGATATAAAGGAAACAAGAAGTAAAGATACACACCTCAGTCGGTGTCACAGTTCGGGTCGGGCCGTCATCCCGCCGCACTCCTCAAGTTCCCCATTCCTCCAACCCTTTTCCTTCACCCCTCACCCATCCGACCGCCCTGGGACCTAGCGCCCATCCAATCCATCCCTAATACTCTAGCATATAAAAACCGTACTTACAGGATGTAGTCGCTAGGCTAATATCGTCTACTCTCCAGGCTAAAACCCATCCTCTCGTGCTCCTCAGACCTATTCAAAGTCAGACAGCCAATAACCCAATATGACCCATGCCCAGCGCTGACCACGTAGAGTGAATGACTGAGTTGTCACACCCATGCTGATCTGACAAGAAAAAATTGTTGGTCATAGGGTGTCAACACGAACAACAAATCAGCTCAACCAATCTTCTCAACATGCCGGACTGCAGGGCTGCAGTCTCTGTACGCCAAAACTTTATGTCAGTCATACAGCTGGTTTGCAACTGACAAAACTTCCAGTTTGTTAACAGTAGTACAGTCTTACAGACTGTCTCAGCTCAGCTAAGTAAATTTCATACAATATATTACCTGAATCATAGTGAGAAACTACAGTTTCTTTTTACTAGACATCAAATCAGACATTTATATAATATATCTTAGTGCCATTACAAGTATCTGCACTTATATCACTGAGAAACTGCTCTCTGTATGGTATACCAGTACATATTTACATCCATCATATATAAGACAAGTCAGATCAGGCATTTGCACAAGGGATCGCACTGATATCACATAGATCACCCAAGCATCACTTGATTTATTAGCCTATCACTTCTTGATTGGGACCGGCTACTGGGATCATTTCCAAATTAGGCCTGTCTCTTTTAGGACATGCCTAATCCTAGTAATCCAGCCTATCCCTTTTAGGAGATGCCTAATTAGGCATGCTAATCAAGGAACATACACACTAATAAAAAAAAACTAAGGACTATATACCATATCTAGTGCAGTATAGATTAGTTTTATGCTATATTATAGTCTCTCAAGTAGGAAAGTTGTCGGCTAAATTCAGAATAAAAAGCTTCTAAACTTATAACAACAAGCTTCAGGGGGGATGCTTTCTGGTGTTAAACAGGGGGAGTGATACTGATATGCAACATGGCACCGGCACAGGCATGCAGCTCAGATCAACAACCACTCATGATATTTCAACTATAGTATATAATTGGCTTCCCGGCAGACAGACCTCTTAGAGTTTCCCCTCTGCTGATCTGATCATATACCAAAGAGCTATGACAGCTAGTTACATATATATGAGCTGACTGATTTCTTATGTATGGCTTGGAATATGCTCTGTGGTTCTATCTGATAAGTTGCTGATTAGATCTCTACCTCTATTAATTTTCACAGTACATTCAAATAACTTTCTACTTATCTCATGTATAAGTCAAATTTAACTTAGGTGTAAAGCTGGATGGTTGTTCAAGGGAATAGAGAGGTCAAGTCTTTCTGAGAAAAGGGGAAAGGACAATCTGGCAAGAAATTGATATGTTAAGTAAACAATGCCCTACATCAACTATCTATTCTATATATATACTATTTTTTCTATATTGTCTAGTATATTCTCATAATCTATCAGAGGAAAACCCTAGAAGGTTCTGGGCAAGTCACATATTAAACTTCAATATGGCAAGGCAGTCTAGAGGGTCTTGAAGGGAGGTTCTCCTGAGATGCATTACTGACATGCAACCTACCAAGCTAACTTACACATATAAGTTTGAACTTCTAAACTTACAGAATCCCAATTGTGTACTTTCTTCTGTAACTATTACTAGTCACTTAGTTACATGCAACAAAAGTTGACTATGTGGTATGTGGGCTACAGGAGCTACATTATGCATCTAGCAAGATATAGTGGTTCCACTCATTTTATTTTCTGAGGTTGGCTAGCCTCTAATAGAGGCCTACAAGATGTATCAAATGTTAATTTTTATTCATCTAACTTTAGGAACATGACATCTCATACTTATTTGAATGTCATACTATACCATAGCTTATATTTCTATTGACAATGCTACCTTGTGCATATATTTTAAGTTTAGTGCTATTATTTACATGATCTTTACAGATACAAGTACTAAGTATCAGATGCTGCTAGCTTGGCTTTTATTTCCAATACCTGTTCCCTTAGCTTGCGACCCTCTGAGTATCTTCCCAAACGGACATAAGTTATAGATAAGCTGGCCTGTGCAACAAGAGTGTGTATATTTTCAGGTCCAAGCAAACGTGTACGCTGTTCAAAGGTTCTTTCTTCTAGTACCTGAGCATCTTCATACCTGCCTAATGCAGCATATGTGCTAGCTAAATTAGCTTGAGCTTGGATGGTATGTGGATGATCAGATCCAAGCAAATGACTCCACTGTTCCAATGCCTTTTCCTGAAATTCAAGGGCCTGATTATACATCCCTAGATGATAATAGGTCCTGCCCAGGTTATTCTGAGCAAGTATTATGGCTGGATGCCCAGGTGCAAACAAATGTGTTCGTTGCTCCAGTGTTTTCTTTTCTAGCTCTAAAGCTTCTGTGTGCCTTCCCAAACAATTATAAGTATTGGCCAGATTTGCCTGACTAACTAGGGTGTGTGGATGCTCAGGTCCAAACAGGTGAGTGCGTTGTTCTAATATTTTTCTTCCAAGATAGAGAGCTTCCGTGTGCCTTCCTAGATCACTGTATGTAGTTGCCAAGTTGGCTTGAGCAAGGATTGTGGCTGGGTGATCAGGTCCACATAGATGACAGTACTGTCTTACTGTTTTCTCCTCCAGTTCCAAAGCTTCTTTATATCTCCCTACATTAGAATATACCCTAGCCAAGTTAACCTGTGTATTGATCGTATCTGGATGCTCAGGGCCAAGCAGATGAGTTTGTTGCTTCAATATCTGCTCCATAAGAGCTAAAGCCTCCCGATGTCTGCCAAGGACACTATAAGTAGCTGCTAGGTTGGCTTGGGCAATAATAGTACCCAAATCCTGAGCTCCTAGAAGAAGAATACGCTGCTGCACTGCCTCTTCCCCTAGGGATAAAGCTTCTGTATATTTCCCTAGCTTTCCATAGGTACTTGCTAGCTCCACTTGGGCAGTAATTGTAGCTAAACTGTTTGTTCCCTGAGATCTCTTGTATATGCTCAATACTTCTTCTCTCATGCTTTGTGCATGATTCAGAAGTCCAGCAGTCATATATAAATCTCCAAGTTTGATCTTGAAGATAACTGGCATTTTCATGACTGCTTTACTCAAATCTCTAGAGTGGAGTGCTAGTAACAACTGGCTTTCTAAGTCCTCACACTCTATAGCAGCCATGACTAGAATACTTAATACCAGGTGTTGTTGCTGATAGACATCAGTGACAGTTTCCCTGGTCCATTCCTGTACCAAAGGATGCATTGAGTATGTGCTTTCATAAGCTGTGATCAAAGAGAATTTTTCTATTGTCTTCAGAGTCTCTTCAAAGCAATATTCATCCCAAATTCCATCTAAATCTCTGAATTGAGAAAGGAAAAGGTGTGCAGGTGCTAGCTCCTCCTTGTCAATCCTACCAGCACCATATACATTCCCCTCTGGCAAGACTAGATCTGAATCCAAAGATTTTAAAGCCATTTCAAAGATACTTGAGCTGATCTTGTTATTATGCATCATACAGAACACCTGCATTACTTCCTGTGCATTCTTGGAGAGATTTTCAAAACTAAGTTTCCAGGTAGTATAAACAGTATTCTTGTAGTCCCAAGGAGCTTGCTGTGGTTTTATTTTCCATTGTTGTGCTTTGTTCTTCCTATAGAGCTTTAGATAGTTCAAGGGTTTCTGCTTCAGGACATGAGACTGGCGAATAAATGCTGCTGCATGGACAATAGCAAGGGGAAAATAGTAGAGCTCCTGTCACCTATTAATCATATAGACATTAAAACAGACCAAGTTACCTTCACAATTTGACTAGTGACACTAGTATTGCTAATCTCAGTAATATTTGAAAATAGGGTGATAGCTTCAGCTGCAGTGAGATCTGATACTTGGATTGAGCTTTGTGCATGAATGCCTAGCTCAGGATTGCGGGATGTGATTATGATATTCCCATGATTGCATTTTGGAAAATGATCTCTGAGGTTGATCTCTGGATCATCAGCATTGTCAAAGAGAAGAACCCATTCATCTGTATGTTGGATAAGCCAATCATGTGCTGCAATCACTGAATTCTCAAGATTTTTGACCCTAGAAATCTCCAGGTAGCCTGCTTTGATAGCATTCTCATCACTTGCATCAAGTTTGAACTGGTCTGGAAATCTGTGTTTACACTTAGGTATATATAGAAAAACTCCCCATAAGAAAATATACCTGTCTCCAGAAGTACCAAGAAACTTGAGGGCTGTCTCTGTCTTTCCTGACCCACCTAGGCCATGCAGCAACAAGACCTTGCAGCCTTCTTCACTGCTGTCACCAAAGAAATCTGTGAGGCTATCTAGAATTTCTTGGCGACCAGTGAAAAATTCACAGGGTGGTGGGCATCCCTTGTATGGTAAGGGTTCTACATCTGTGGAGAGAGTCAGTCCTCAGCATTATTCCAGCCAATTTCATCACTAACTGGCACCACTACTTAAGAAAGGTCAATATTCTGATGGCATTACACTGGAAAGAAACATACCCTTGAAGATTGACTGAATATGCTTTTATCGAAACTCTGGGGCCTTGTCCCATGCCGCCACGCCCCCCCTGTACCTTGGGCAGTGCCACCATTCCCCCCCGTGCCACCTGTAAATTTCAGTTGGGATGACTGGGATGGATAACTTGAGGCTCCACCGACCACTAATGGTCAAATTGCTTATGTTTCCTACCAGTTCTGACATGGATGCCGCTTCTCTGCAGTGAAGATGAGGGTAAGAGGGAAGCTACGACGAGACGAGCAACATGTGGCTTTCGCGTGTTTTCCGCCAGGCGTCAAGCGACTTGTCAAGCGATCAACTGTTTGGCACTTTTGCTCCGATTGGCTTCCGACTCGGATCATCAATCAGTGACACGGGCCCAATTGCTTTTGCTTCTTACATCGACAAACGCTTACGCGTCATGGTGGCCCCTAATGATGATTCTGCGCGATTGAACTACAATCTCTGGCTACACTTGACGAACACAGTGCCACTTATCTTCAGCGCTCGCGTTCTGCTGCATATTCTCTACCCCGAGGAACAACTTGATGTACTGTGATGCTGAGAAGATGGCGCCATACCTCCTGGCAGACAGCATAGCGGACTTTCCGAGTCACCGGGCTGCCTTGCCAGGCTAGCCTGTCTGACCGTGCATTTAGGACTGGAGCATTCACCACTGGCAGCATCAACTCTTGGCTTGCTCCCCCGAATTCGAAATGGGCCGCTCCGCACTGGATATCCTCCCACTCGAGCTTTGGGCACACATTCTTTCCCCCGCATTCCTCGCTCTGCCCTCCCTTCTCGCGGTCTCCGGTGTCTCATCCGAGCTCAACGCCATCGTCTACACTGTTCTGCTCGATGGGACTCCGCGGCTGCCCGATTCGCTGTTCGCTGCGGGCCACGACATTTATATCACCCGCGAATCGCTGCGAATGGTGGCAGGTGACCCCCGTGAGCTCGCCACCGAACGACTGGTGTACTTTTTTGAGCGGGGTGAGGCCAGTCCTGCGACGCTGGAATGGCGACTTGACGCCTGTCAGGCGGTGCTTGGGAGGGCGATATTCGCGCGCGAATTGCGCGTTGATCTAGGGTGCGACGTCTTCAAGGTAGCACAGGAGCGAACAAGCATCTTCGACAGCCTAACGAGACTGTTGGGTACACTCCCAGCGAAGATACTGCGCATCTCCGTCGATGTCGGGCCGGTTTTCGTCATCCACGCCGATAGCAACGGAGATGCATCGGGCTTCATGGCCTCACTCGCAGAGCTGCAAAGCTGGACACTGCATAGGCCAGCGGAGCAGTTTGGTCGGCCGGCGAGCTGGATGGAGCGCCGGCGCTCCCCCGGGACGCAGATCGGAGCCGATCAAAATTCGGGCCGGCCGGCCACTGGTACAATTATGACGCTCGCGCGAACTTACACTGGCGGTTTGACCGTAGTTCCGCGGCTGATTGCCCTCCGCTCCCTCGCCGTGTCACTACAGGCTGTTGATTCGGGTGCGAACGCTGACTACGGCCGGTACATGGCGCTCATAGTCCTCGACCCAGACAAGATCGTACGTCTGCACATCGCGCCGCCCGCCGTAACACGCATCCGCGATAGAAATGGAAGTGGGAAGGTTTCTGCGGCGCGCATTGCCAGTTCGGTCATCAGAGCGGTGAACCTACCGATCTTGAAGGAACTCACTCTCGATGTCGGCAAGGACAAAGGTAAGGACGGGCCCCAAGCCGACTTTGTCCACGCCGCGCTACGGAAATTCCAGGGTGCGCATCCGCGTGTAGAGATCCGTTTGAATGGGTAGTCATAACTTATACTAGTAAGTATCTGTCAATCCACGCAGATACGATAGTCCCACCATTCTAACCAACTGAATGTAAGCAAGCACTACTTACTTGCACTACTAGGAGTGCAATGAATAATATTTCCCGCCCATACTAAGTAGTAGTGAGTTATTCAATGACCCATGAGTAAGGACATTACTAGCAAGTACTGATGGAACGAATGTGGTGTTTTGTTTCGGAAATAAGTATATAAGAGTGCAAATCTGGCACAGGCTAATCGCGTGGCCGCACTGCGATGTTGTTATCAGCGGCAGATGTTAGGATAAATGAGATTAGTTGGGTCGGATGGAATCCAACCGTTAGCGAGTCCCGATTTGTACGACCACTCCTCAGCGACCCCAGCTTCGGTCTTCCATGTCCTAAAACAGACTGTCATTTAGTTCCACGACGACAAAAATGATAACGTCGGAGTTTGAACGCACCACTGGATCCAGCCTTCTGCTTTTTCATAGCTGCTAACTTGCGCCTCCCAGAACTTCCTCAAGGAGGTCTTGTAGCTCGCGCTGAACGTCGATGCAGATCCGCTCCAGCCAGCGCAGCTTCCAACACGCGTCGCGCTGGTGCCCTCATATGAGCCGTCATATCGGGAGCCGATACCGCGGCCATTGAGATACTTGGCGCAGTCGGTCATGGCTACAATGTGTAAAAAAAACTACACCGAGAACCACAGAGAACGGAACACGCACCAGGGCTCCATTCTCCAACTATCGTCCACCTGTCGACCGAAGCGAGTGAACTGCCCTTGCCGCAGACGGTGTTGATGTGTTCTTGTTCACTCATCCGCACCTCAGGCACGCTGAAAAGCGTGTAGATGTGGGTCTCCTGTGAAACAACAACGTCAGAAAGACCAAGTCAGACTGTCAAAGCCAGTGAGTGACCCTTACAATTGCAACACCTTCGTAGCTGGGATTCGTCAGCACACCGTTCCAATAGCTTAGAGGCTATGAGCAGATGGGTTAGCGCGGGAAGCCGTGGTGTTAAAGACCACTGCTACCTGGAATGCGTCGCCGATCACAAGGACGGTGTCACCTAAACGGAACGTCAGACATGAGAAAGACGGCGACCGGGTTATACTTTTTCTCGCTGACCCATACGGGTAGCGAACATTGGAAAAGCTATCCTCCCAATACTGCGGCAAGGGCAACGGTCAGCGGCCGAGCGGATTTAACGCGTCAACGTACCTTTTTTGTGACCGCAAGGACGTCTGGCCCGAAGTATCCAGCCGGCTCGTTGAGGGCTTGTATAGCGGGCACATTGGCAGCGTTGTCTTTAACCATGGCGACAATCTTTTTGAGGACAGTGCTGGTACGCTGCACGTTGGTGACATTGGTATGCCAGGTCCTTCGAGTTCTCATGCGTTAAATGAGGGTGAGATACAGAGCATACACGTACGGGTATGGCATGCGATGACCAGAGCTGGAAAGATGTCAGTCTTGGCAATCGACCTACGGAAAGCATCGACCGACTTGTCATATCCGTTCTGGCTGCCCGGCGCTCCGTGAAGGTCGATAATGAGCTTCAGTCCATTGTTCGTAGCCCAGGTAATCGCTTTGTTGAGGTAGGGAAGCTGGCCAGAGATGTAGGGCTCTCCAGGGCCAACTTCAAGTTCAAATGCCCAATACCTAATCAAGACAGTCGGCAAACTTGAACCAACTATGAAGAGAACGCACCCGATCGGAACACGGACATGGTTCAACCCAGCAGCCTTGATGGCCGCAAAATCGGACTCCGTGATGAAAGTATCCCAGTGTTTCGTCAACGCGGCAGTAGCGACTGGTCTGCTCTGCAGCTGGCCGAAAGTCCATTCGTCAACGATGGCAGGGTTACCTACCCGACGTAAGCCCATGCGGCACGTCGTAAACAGTCCCGACAAACCTGTGCTGTCGAAAATGGACGGCGTAATCCACGGCTGGGGCGAGTCAAAATGGGAGAACGACACGGAGAGTCACGATACGCACCTCAAGAACCAGCCAACCACCTAAACTGACCCCACGAACTTTAGAGCTTCCGTACGGAAAGCCTGGACTGATGGCAAGGACGCTGCCAGTGGACAGGAGGGAAAGGACGAGAACGACACGCATGGTGGTTTGTAGAGTAGAAGCTGAAGTGGTGGAGGAGCGAAGAAACTAAGTATTAAAGGAGGTGATCAACAAGGATCCGAGTCGACTCCGCTTGTTGCCAAGTTATTGCCAGTCGAGCACCTTGTGGTAACAGTGGAGCTGAACCACGGAAAAAAATGTGTAACAACTGTAGGAGTTGCTGGTGGAGTTTATACCACGTGAACCTCTGATTGACCAAGGGTAATTTATTCACTGTTGTCATCTAGCGAGATCTTGAAAAAGACAACATCCGTAGTATTCTTCTGTTCACTTGTCAGCATTGATATCATCGGTGGTAGCACTCACCGTCGTGTCCGCTGCAACCACCCACTGCTCGTCCATTACGAGCATGCCATGTGTCTCCACTTTTTTTCTGCCTTTTGCAGGCCTCAGAGCCCGCCGGGTCTCCCGATACGGCATCCGCGTGTGCATCGCTGACATGAAAACCCCCGCGTTAATCGTCTGCGGTTTCTCAGCCGCGTCCAACCCAGGTTGAACCAGCGCGCTGACGCGGGGCTGACACCACCCCATCTCGTCATGCAGTACTTCCTCGTCTTCATCGTTATCCTCTTGCCCCTCATCTTCGACGTCCGTGACGGACAGTACGCCCCGGAGCCGGCCCGGGTACGGATGCTTGCTCTGCGCAAGCAGAACGTCTTCGTTGTTCTCGTCCACCGGTAGGGCCCGCGGCATGTTGAAGTCGAGAATGCGGAGCGCGTGGGTGGAGTCGCTCGGCAGGATGATGCGCTCTCCGTGTACATGTCTGCCAGCGTTAATGAGGAATTGAGTATGATCAGAAACACGAGTACCTCGGCCAGAACAATCCCACCGCGTTCCCGGTAAACATCCTCGCCTCCCGGGGGCCCCACTCATTCCATTTCACTGTCTTTTCCTTCCCGTCTATACGCCACTGCGCTACCAACTGCAAAACCGTGCGGATATGGAACGTTATGCGCATCCATCCGCCGGGTTCATATTGCGCGACAAGCGAGACGATACGACGGTCATTGTCCTGATAAAGCGGCTTGTCCGACGGAATACGGGCCATATACGGCCCGGAAAAGAGCGAGGCACCGCCGAGACAGACCTGGGCTGTCGATCTTGGCGGGAAGTGCAACTTTGCGACGAGTTCTGGGGTAACCCCGGGCGCCAAGCTGTCAGGAAGGACATACACGTGGATAGCTCCGTCGTCGTGGTCGGCCCAGTCCGAATCATCCAGCGCGGGCGGATCTGGCGCAGAAACGAGCAGGAAAAGACGAGGTGTGAGGAAGTGCAAGGACAGCGCGTGAGCAAACGACCAGTCGAGAACGCACGTGCCGCGACGCCAATCGAGCAACACCAGGCGTCCGCCAGAGTTCAGCGCAAGAATAACAATGTCCCCGACGACCTGCATTGTCATTTCGCTGACTTCCTCGGGCCGGCATATGAGCCAGGCTCATACCCAGCCCTCGTTGTAGAGCTCACAATCCTAGTCGTGTAGTTTAAAGCCGAATGTGATATAATTGATTAACCGATAAATCCGAAGTGTGACAAATGTGACGGAAAGTTTTGGGATCGCTCTACAAGAGGGCTGGCGCAATTAGCCCGGCCCGGGTCCGAGCCGCGTAACTCCAAAGAGAGCTTTCGTCTCCGCTTGTGCCTCCACCCACCACTCTTACTTATTCCTCCAGCACACTCACTCTCAACCACACCCTCCTGGTCAATCTCCATCTCCACAGTGCTCCTGCCCTGTCTCGCGCGGTACTCGGCGCGTTTGCGGGCCCGATAGTGCACAAGCTCTTCCGATGGGCTCAAAAGAGCATCGAATGTGGCCCAAAGATATGGCGCGTGGTGCTCCATTCCCTGTGCTAGTGCCTCGATGTCGACCTCCTCGAGTTGCTTGATCGTGGCGTGTGCCGCATTGAACTTGGCTGTAGGCCGGTGGGTGAGAATCTCGAGTTCCTCCGTGAAGAGGGCGGTGGACTGGGCACCGAGCCACTCTCTCGTTGCGGCCCGGGTGTGTTTTGCAGTGAAGAGCGTGTCGAGAAGGCTTTCGGCAGTGCCGATAGTGGCGTCATCGAAGGAGTTTGTGCCCTCGGACGCCACCTGCTCGAGAGCGAAAGCAATGAGGGCGGGGAGGGTGGTACGGGCGCTTTGGAGCGTCTCGAGGACGGAGGAGAGGACAGCACCATCGAGCGCCATGGCGGTTTCTGTTAAGCACCGCTTTTCGGATGGCCGGGCTAACACGGGCCGGGCTAATTGCGCCAGCCCTCTTGCAGAGCACTCACCCCAAAAATAATAACGCTTGTCACATCATTCTGATTTCGCTCTAAAATCATTACATATTTAGCTAAAAATTACGCTCTCGGATCTGGCTGCTCTGCAACGAGGGTTGGGTATGAGCCTGCATATGAGCCCGATTTGCGAGATTGCCGCCAAACTGTGTGGGATCGTTGGCTGCGACAAACTCCGCAAAGCCAGTGTGCCCTCCTCTCCACCGTCGCTATAGAACACAGCGAGCAAGTCCTCTGCAGCGTCCATTGCGAAATCCTCCACCGTGAGCCCCTCCTCATGAATCGTCCCCGTCCATACTGCTTCGTTCCCTCCGAGTTGAGCCAGGCGCACCACGTGCAGCTTTCCGCCATACTCCACCGACTCTTGCAGTGCAAACACACCGCCCGCGAGCTCGTACGCGCGACAAACTGCCGGGCTTTGCATTTTCACGACGTGCCTTGCCGCCCATTGCATTTCCCGCCAAGCCGCACGCTGCGCTGTCAGACGGGCCAGAGCCATGCTCGGCGTGCCGGCTGGGGTGCGGGAGGTGTTAGCCAGTAGCCCAGAACGCCACAGCTCAAGCGTATACTGCAGTGACGGCGCCCCGTCTACCACACCGCGCCACAGGCGGGAGACCTAAATATGTACCATCGATCAGCGAAAGCGGTGACCAAAATGGCTACGTACGCACCGACACCCCACGAGTTGGCGCGGGTGCACGTGCCCGAGCACAGCTGCCAGTATCTCTGGCGGGAACTCGTCAAACGGGGCCATGAATGGTGGTCAAGAACAAAAAGGGGGTGACCTTGTCACACGTCATCTGGTGGTTGGGGGCTCTAACTATTTTATTTCTGTTTGTTAATATTTCAAATAAAATAGAAACATAAACAGAAATAGTAATAAATGTTTTAAATTATTTATAAATACTTTTTCACCTCAGATAAAATTGAACAGTTTGTTCTAAAGTACTGTCTTTCCATAAGAGTTCAAACTTCAGCAGCTTTTTTATGTTGGTGCTTCTAAGCCAATCTAAATGCTCTAAAGCTGCCATGCCAGCCATGACCATTAGTTGAAACTAAAGGGCATGTATAGACCTTGTTATATAGATTGCATTGAATGCATCAAGAAAACTTTATTGCCCTGGGCATTGCCATATCCTAATTTCTGGTGCCAAGGCATCCAGGCAAGTTCCAATAACAACAGGCTGCCAGAATCAATCTAGCCCCATTCTTGACATAGCAAGTGCCAGATTCCATTTTGGCCCAGAATGTAAGGGCAACCCTGGAGCTGTAAGGGCAACCCTGGAGACTCCGACGAAAGCCTAGCAGGGGAGGATCCAAAGCGTGAATAAAAGCTACGGGAAACACACGGAGGGACCGACCTAGCAGGGGAGGATCCAAAGAGAAGAAACTCTAAGGGTCCGCCTGCTAGGGCGCCAACTATATACTGGTCGTCCGTAACTGCCGACGTAGAGCGCAGAAGGCCTGAGCGGCGTCGCAGGCTCTGTCCCAAGGTGATCGTTGGGAGGGTCTTGACGGATCGGTGATTGTGCGGGTGAAGGAGGCCGTGGACGATGGTCGGGGTGGGTCGGAGCGTCCGAGGGGGCGCCGGTTGGATGCGCCTCGGATGCGTTCGGAGGGTCCAAAGGAGGCCGAAGCGGGGGTTCCCCTGACACAGAATTTCTCCAGAATCTTAACAGGATTGTTCTAGTACTCCAATCATGCTCACTAATTTTTACTTTGAATGATGCTTAAAAACAAATAAATTTTACTATTTCCATATATTACATACTATAAGATGTCCTTGCCATTGTTGTTGCCATCTCTGGCCCTGCTACCAACTTGAAGGATGTATAATGTCTGTATGTGGCAGATGGGTCATAGCAATATTTGTCAGGTCGTCAGATTGCTGATGTTAGCGATGGCCAGGTCCGGGTCAGGATTTCGGTTTGAACCAGACTGAACGCGCATTCAGTGTTCAGGTTCAGCAAAGGCTATTTCTGAACTGAGGTGCGAACCTGGCCCTTGGTTTGGTTCAGCCATTTTGGGCCAAAAACACTGGTTTGGGGCCAGTTCAAACCGCCGTTTGGCATTCACGTTCAGCTAAATCTGCTTTTGAACCGAACCGGACTTGGCCATCACTAACTGATGTTGGGCAGGTTGATAGGCATCTTAATCAGGTGTCATGCATACTGTCTTGGTTTCATCAGGTTGCTTAGTAATTCAACTGATTTGCTTGAGAGGTTTTACCATGCCATAGTGATCTTTGTGACAACCACCGGTGTTTTTTTACCACTGCAGACCCTGACTGAGGCTTTGGGACCCACCCCACTAGGAGCTGCTGCTTGCCATGGAAACCCGCTGCCCAGAGCCCAGTGAATTCAACATATCAACTGTTTTCTAGGCAGCTATTGAAAAATAAACCTGAATCAAAGATCTGCATTCGATTAACATCTGACAAAAACTGGCAACCTGGCAGACCTGCCACTGCATGTGGGGAACATTGTCTTGTAAAGTTGGAGAGCAGACATAGTGTGGGGGGCCCTAGAGATATGTGCAATGCCTGAAGCACTGTGGTTGGCTACAGACAAAAGTCACACAGGAGGTCCAGTGTGCAGGTAGGGATGGTGAATAATGCCATTGTGATATTATTGGCCATGTATATAAGGCACAATAGTGACCATATACTCTATTGCTTAGATTATCTATTGTACTGCTGCTCTCTGTGCAAGGAGGCATGGAATGGTAAACCATGAAGGATGGACAGGTAGTTGAGCCCAACCAGTCCCATGGGTGGGCAGCACAATGGCCCAATCCAAACTGTGACACTGGGAAACCAAGGAGGTTAAGACACAATCCCTACAACCATTAAATAATGAACACAATCACAATAAAGGTTGGTCAACTTGTGACTCTTGAAGATGAGCTTCAAAATCTAATTACTATGATGGAAACTGTAACAGTTTTTTGCACCCGTAATGGTTTTTCCCATTCTCCTCCGTCATTTTCTAGCCAATTTGCCTCAGAGGAGGTGCATTGTGAAGAGGAGATGAATGGCTTTCTGCTGGTACAATAATAATGGCAATAGTGGACTAAGGAGTGACAATTAGTTAGACAGAACCTAAGGCCTTGTTCACACCTGTTGCTGAGTTTTGGCAGATCCCTCAGAAAATTAACCCTTGTATCCAAGCACCACGACAACTCAGAAGAAAACCGGAGGATTTTTTCAAATTTTAATGAGGTTAATAATGGTTGAAAAACTGGTGACCTTTATTGATTAGGAAAAAAGGTTTAAAGAATGTCAACTAGATAGGAAGGAAATCTAACCAGAAAAATGCTTCTCGGATTGTAGCAGAAAAAGGGTGCATATGTGGGAAAAATGGAAGATATCTGGGCATAAGAGGCTTTTTTGTATGACAATGTTGATTCCTTTTTTCTGATAAGATTGCTGTTCTACTTAGTGTGTCTTTTTAAATTCATTTTTCCCAATGAATATAGGTGTCCCTTTTTGGGGTCATTATTACCTTAATTAAAATTTTAAAAAATCCTCCACTTTTGTTCCAATTCCTTGGAGTGAAGGCTTTAGCCCTGTTGTACCACTATGATAAATGTACTATTCAATGCATAATAGGTAGTAGATTGTAATGCACCATCTCCGAGGCAAATCGGTGGGGAAATAAGGGAGAAAAACAGGGGAAAACCATTATATGGGTGCCAAAAACCGTTACGGTTTCCATCCACTGTGGGCAGTAGTTACAATCAATGTGCAGTATAGATATACAATCAATTTGAGTGTGCCATACAATCAAACTGATTGTTAAAAAACAATCTATTTGATTTCAACCTTGCAAGGAATTCAAGCAAATAGAGTGGTTCTAATGCATATTGATTTAACTAACAATCTATTTGCATTCTTTTTACACTCAATATGCATAGTGCTACACTCATATTGCATTGCATACAATCACATAGCACATTTTATAAATCCATTTGATTGTTTCAAAAAACATGTATTTTCTACGATACAACACAGTATACTACGAATCCAAACACCCACCAGTTCATCCTCCAGGCTCCCGTATACCCCCAGCCGGGCTCTCCCGCTATCGGCACCACCCGCTACAGCCCCAGTCCACCACTCCGAAAAGATGTAAGCGGGACACAGAGGCTTGGGAGACTACACACCGTGACCTATCGAAGCTCCTGGCAGCGATCAAGCAAGCTACCTGTAGGCGTATCAGACAGCACAACCCGGGACCAGCACATACCGCAATGGCTCCGCGATTGCCTAGCGGCGCTACAGCCGGTTTTGACATTGGCGAAGCCCGATAGTCTCATTCGACGTTGCAGACACCGAACGCGCCAGAGCGGATTGGTGCCGAATCGCAGTGTCAGTTACCGTGATGAAGAGGATGAGAGGGCACGCACATTGTGTCCAAATCCATGCACTTCCCCACCGTGGTTTTTCGCGCCTGGTTGTACTGTGGTTATGAGCTGTACACTCTATGAAACCGCGAAAGACGTACAGACCGCTGTTCTGAACAGCTGTGGACGCCGGAGATGCACTCTTCCATCTTGCGGCAAGACCTAGCGGTCGGGGGATTACGGGACTCGTGCCGGAGTGGTGTTGATGGCCAAGCCTCCGTTAGAATAGTCCCCAACAACTGCTTCGAATGGCGCACCGAGATTGTCTTAGACGGCGACGGGCAATATATCCGCACTGACCCCACACACTCTTCCATTGCCAGGCAGGCGTGACCAGTCAACGGAGCGCCTAATTCGCGGTGGCGGGTGTGGCTGTCGTCGAATGGAGCGGCTGTAGACGGGAAACGACCGTCTTGGAGATGTGTCCCGAGTATGAACCTGCGGTGAAGCTTGGGAGCTGTCAGACATGGTCTGAAGCACTGCAGATGACGCACCAGGAAGGCCTTTAGCATTCGCATGGCGCTGGACGCGGCTGGCGATGGGCAACACCTCCGGATTGACCACACCTTCTTTCTCATCGCCAGGCAACGCCGAGCGGTCAACGGACCGCGGAAATCATCCTATAGGATGTCGTGTTGAGTTGGCCGCTGCTACAGCCATCACAGAGACGAGTTGTGTTGTGAGAGGCGCAGTAGGAGACGAGTTGGTGGAGGAGGAAGAAGAGATGACACGTCCCGTCACGTGCCACGTGTCAACGAAATTGGCACAAAAACGCTTCATCTGTGTCCGACTTCTGGTCGCGTCTGCCTCAGCAGCAGCAACCCGTGCTTCCGCCTCCTCCGCCCATTGTTTCCAGTCGATTTCCAGAGAGGCCGTTGTTTCCATCAGCTACACCAATCTTGTTGACTAACTACAATATTCCACCTAGGCTTAGAACACATCTGGAACACTTGATGTGTCTGGGCATTCTTCCAAATAACCCTAAAGATCTTCGCAGTTATATGACTCTTCTAGATGATGAGCTTGCACAACTAGCCACAGGTGTTCAAGCCTATCATGCAAAGGCTAATACTGTCTTTTCTATGCATAGGCAATGGCACGGGTAAGGCTTACCCGCGCGGGTAGACGGGTTTTACTCACGCGGGTATGGGTATAGATTAGAAATTTCTAACCCACCAACCCATGGGTATGTGACCCATGGGTAGATTAGATAAGAGATACCATACAGATATCGATCACTGCATGCAATTGCTGATTCCCTCTTGGCTCTTGCTTAAAGTGCAAGCACTCAGTGGGTGTCACAGCAGAAAATTGACCTAAACTAGGAAATATATTAGTTGTTTGGGATTTAGAAGTGACAATACCCATGAGTAAAATCCATACCCATACCCATAACTACTCATACCCCTACCCATGGGTATGGGTATGGTGGCTGTGCAGGTATGAGTATGAGTAAGGCTCTGGATACCCAGGGGTTTACTCATGCCATTGCCTATCTATGCATGCCTATATGCTCATAGGAATGGGTGATATAATTGCTATCCAGAAAATGTTGAATATCAAAGGATGCAATAGTGCTTGTCCCTGCAGAGCATGTGAGATCCGTGGGACGCGCTGGGTCCTTTCCCTTGTACAGAACTTTTACTATCCTTTGGGCTGGCCAGATGATGGAAATATTCGTAGGATCTGGGATCCATATGAGTTGCCAGCAAGGACAGAGGAACGTTATGAATTTGCTTTGACACAGGTCTCTTCTGCATATACTAAGAAAGACAAGGAACTACAGGCTAAACACTGGGGTGTGCGTGGACTGCCTGTTCTGCACCGTGTTGGCTTACTGAAACGTGGCTCTTCATATCCTCATGATCTGATGCATCTCTTTTTTGAGAATATTATTCCCAATTTATATTCCTGGTGGACAGGTACCTTCAAGAATCTAGGTGGTGGGGAAGGGAACTGGCTAATTTCCCCAGAGGACTGGCTAGAAATTGTCTCAGAAATGGTTGCTGCTATGAAAACTATACCCTCTGATTTTACTCGTTCCTTGGCAGGTGGCTTTTCTAGGTTTACAGCTGAATCTTGGTGCTTTTGGTATGTCTGGATGATGCCTGGACTTCTCAAGGGTCGTTTTCCCAAGGAAAAATATTATGATCATGCTTGTGATTTAGCAAAAATTATCAAGCTCTGCCTTAGGTTCACTATTACACACCAACAGATCAATGAGCTAGAAGAAATGATTGTTGCTTGGGTACAGAAATATGAAGAGTATGTGGTATTTTATCCTGTTTTTTTTTACTCATGTTTGCTCTCTCTAGATACTACTATCAATATAAACCTGAACATCTCTCTGCTTGCACTCTTACAGTTCATAATCTTTTGCATATTGCTGATGACATACGCAACTGTGGCCCAGGCTGGACATGGTGGACCTTTTTTATGGAACACTACTGTGGATTTTTGAAGCATGGTCTTCACTCCCGAAAGCGTCCACATGCTAATCTCAGCCGTCGACTGCTTCACTTCATGTATCTTGAGTAGATTGCTGTCCGTTATGATCTTAGAACTGAGCTTGCAATTTTCAGGCCTCTTAGAAGAGAAGTTACTGCTACTGAACAGAGATTTGAGAACTGTAGGTTTTTTTTGTTATTTCATCTCTTTCTAAGCTGTTGAAGATCCACATGCCATTCTTGGAGCACCTTGTCAATCTCAGCATATGCCAACTGAAGCTCAAATAGACAAAATGGCCAAATATGTTGTGGATGTCTTGGACAAGCCTGCTGCTTCTGCTCCTCAGATCAAGAAGTATCTCCCCCTCAGTGATGCCAAGATGGGCTAAACTGCGAATATTTGGTGGAGATTGCATTCGTGCTGGCTGGAAAGGACCTCAGAATGCTGATGAACTTCGAGATAATTCTTTTGTCAGGGTATGGAAATTTATTTACTAGAATTTTGCATACTAATTTGTGAGTAGTTTGTTAAGCAGGTTTACAAAAGGAACAAATGGGTCCCCCAGATTGGATATGGCCGTCTAGAGGAGATTTTTGAGTGCAACATGCCTAGGAAATCTTTGCTTGGGGCAGCTTTCTCAGGACAGACTATCTTATTTGCAGCTATCACACCTTGTGCAAACAGTAACAGGGATGCTAGCAAGAAGGTTGTGGGATATCAAAAAATGGATGCAGAAATTGTGCTTGACTTGCAATGTGTGCAAGCAGTTGTGGGAAGGATGCAAGTGGGCCAGAGATGGATATTAATTGACAGGACAGATGGCTTGATAAAGCCAGAGTTTGTTCCACTGGCACAGGATGAAGGGGTAGTGGAGGATGAGGCAGTTGAACTGTTTGGAGCTTGACTTGTGTATGTTGTTCCTATTTTTCAATGTATTTTTCATGATATGCTGTTTGTTTCTGGTTTTTTGCTGTTGTTATATGAATATTTACCACCATACTTTGAGTTGTCTTCAAGTTTAAGGAATTTAAAATGGTGTCTGCCCTGTTTCTGAGTCTATGAGCACATTCAATCAATCTGAGTAACTTACAATCAATATGATTAATAGTGGTAAAACATCAAGGTGGTATGTTGCAGCTCACTTTGAACACAGACCTGTCAAGTATGAACATAATCTTATTGCCAGGAGCTGTGTAGAGCCTCTTAATATCACAATTGACAAATATGCAAATTGATTGTTTGTGAAAAACACTTGTTTTGATTGTAAAACCAAACAATCAATTTGTGCTTAATCAATGTGATTGTAAATAATGCAAATTGATTAACCTGCACTCATATTGATTGCAAGTCCTCCCCACAGTGCATCATAGTAATGGGTTTGCACTTTGAGGAGTCGATTGGTAGGACAGTTTCTGCATGCTAACATCAATGCGCAATCCGCAGCAACCGCAGCAACCGCAGCACCGACCGGCGACCGCGATTGCCGCTTGCTTCACTTGGCTTGGCAACCCTGCGGTGATGATTCATTGATGGGATGTCGCGATCGCTTTTGCAAGGAGTTGAATTCAGGGATATTGGTTCAATTGAGGGTCTGAATTGCGGCGCACTCTGAAGCACCCACTTCTCAAGCACTAACTCGCGTGCCCAACGAACAATTATTTGCCGATGGGCCAGGGACCAGGGCGCGTCAGCGCATCACGGCGGTGACAGATCTTGGATTGCCGACTGGTCACATTCCCACGAACTTCGAGACCTCTCCGAGTAGACACGGGCTGACAGTGCCGCTAACTCTCTCCCTCCCACCACCGCTCCTTTCCCCTCCATGCGACGCGGCATCGCACTGTGGTCCGCGGTCTTCGCTGGCGCGACAGGTGTGACGGCGTCGTGCAGCTCATTTGGCAACCACGCACAAAGGCCGCAGGGGACGCCTTCGAAAGGTGCGTTCTTTTGTCTCTTCCTACATTGACCTGAGCGATTCAGGCCCGCTGGGGCTGCCATACATGCGTCCTGATCCCGGATGTCGCACATTCAACAGTTCCGCCGTCGAAAAAGTCGTCGATAACCTCGTAAAGCGGATGAAAGACCCCGACCTCGCGCGGTGCGTGCCGTGCCCATTACCCTCGCTTCTCTCACGCTTACCTGATCACCGATAGCCTCTTCCAAAACACATACCCCAATACACTTGACACGACGATCAAGTGGTTTAACGACGACCTCGCATTCGTTGTCACAGGCGACATTCCCGCCGAGTGGCTCCGCGACAGCTCGAATCAGTTCAAGCCGTATCTGAACTTGGTCGGCCATGATGAGCCACTGCGCCAGCTTACGAGGGGCGTAATCAATCTGCAGGCGCGGTATATCACACAATACCCGTACTGCAATGCATTCCAGCCCCCGCCAGAGTCGGTGTGTGGCCTACCGCTGTGTTGCCTGCTGCTGCTGACAAGGATACTCAGGGCCTACCGAAACAGTGGGGGAGCGGAGACACCGGCGCAAGGATATCTCCGCCCGACGACATGTCAATCGTATGGACTTGTGGCGTGCGTCGTCTGCTCCCTGGTTTTCCTTTTATTGACATCTGTAGTACGAGCTTGACTCGTTGCTGAGCTTTATCCAGCTCAGCAGGCTATACTACGACTTCTCAGGCGATACGACCGTGTTCACCTACGACAACGGCAAATGTGCGTTCATTTTGCTTTTGTTTCCCTCACTTACGACAAGGCAGGGTTTACCGCCATGGAGAGCGTGCTGAAGGTCATCGAAGACCAGACGGTGGGCACGTTCGATGCGGAGGGACACGTCGTGTCCTTCTACAATATTGTGCGCATTCACTCTCATTCGATTTGACCTTCTAATTGCTGTCCAGAGTGGGCCAAATCAACAGTACATGAAGAACAACGGGCGTGGTCCCCCCAAGGCCAAAGTCGGGCTGGTGCGTTCTCTCTTGCTTGGCTTCCGAATACTAACTTTATTTAGATCGGCACGACCTACCGCCCTTCAGACGACGTCGTCTACTTCCCATATAACATCCCGCACCAAGCCATGGCCATCGTGGAGCTGCGCGGGTTCGCTGCTTTGCTTTCTAACCTCAAAAAGCGCGCGGAGAAAGACACACATCTGGCGTCGGTGCTTAAAGACCACCCAGGCATGTCGGCGATGGCACTGAAGCGGGCCAAGAGCGTCGAAGACGCACTTTGGGAGTATGGCACGGTGCCGACGAAGAAGTGGGGAGAGGTGTTTGCGTACGAGGTCGATGGGTTTGGAGGGGCGGCCATTCAAGATGGTGAGTGTGTTTTGTTGGCTTATTGTTATGGGTGCTGAAACGGTTTTTAGACGCAAATGTGCCGTCGCTGATCTCCCTTCCGTACCTGGGCTTCGTGAACGCAACCGACAAGATATATAAAAATACACGCAAGATGCTACTGTCACCCAAGGGCAACCCGTATTATGCGCATGGGCCTGCCATAAGAGGCGTGTCGAGTCCGCATATTGACGAGGCGCATGTTTGGTGTGTTATTTTTAGCTTTGTCTTGTGAGGCTGACAACGGGCAGGCCAATGGGGATTGTAAGCGAGGTGTTTAGCAGCACGGACGACCAGGAGATCTTGGATGCGCTTGAGTGGCTGAAAAATTCGACGACAGGGCTGGGACTGATACACGAAAGTACGTGTTCAATATCCTTAATCTAAAGGTGGCTGAGTCCAGTCATAGGCGTGCATACGCATAATGGGCGGGATTATACTCGGCCGTGGTTGTGCGTGTTTTCATATTAGCTTCTACGCTTGTCTGCTGACTCTTATTTTAGTGCCTGGGCGAACGTGTGTATACTTGAATCTACCACAAATCACAATTAATGTGCGACCCAGTCCTACTTCGGCGAAGCGATAGTCTACCTCGCAGAGACGAAGCCGCACCTACTGTTTTCAGACCGCAAGCCGCTCGACCTCAAGGCGCTGCTCGGCGGCGAGACAGTGAGTTTCTTTTTCGGTGCAGTCTGATTTGCGGGCGTGCTGACGAAACTAGTAGCTGTCGACGGAGACAGTGACGCTCGGCAGCACGGATAGCTGGCGCGACTGGTGGGAGGGGTGGTGGCTCGGCATCACGCGCTGGGTAGATAACTTACTGTAGTTTGCTTAATACGTTATATTGGAGTTGTTTAGTGGGCTGCAATAATCAACACATGCGTGAAATGGGTAAATGTGTCTAGGTCTTTCATGGCCATGTAAGTTTTTTGAGTACTACATGTTCTGTGACTAAATAAGAGATGAGTTAGGAACCTAGACTCGCCTAACTATAACATGCATGTCAATGTATTTCAACATCATCTAGTAAAGAATGTGCTCAAATGGTATATACTTATAGTAGATGCTAATTATAGCTGAGGAACAAGTGACCTATGAACTCAGACTGCACTTAAGTACCGTCTAAGAACAAGCTTGATGGACTTGAGCTCATTCTTGGATGTTATACCAATTACAACCAGATTGAACGATAGCCAGAAGGGGAAATTCATCTGGCAATTGTTTTCTGGGTCCTGTATCAATACTCTGAGACATTATTCTGAGACATTTCACAAATATATAATCATCCCGATTGGGGTTGGCTATTATTATATCGTCATAATATAATATAATTATATTATTATTATATTATGCTGATGGCTGCAGCATCATGATAATATATCATAACATGTTATTCCAGGCTTGTGTCTTAGCCCCAAACCCATGAATATGATGTTAAACTGGCTTAAGTACTTCCTCTCTTTTTACTACTATTTGCACTATACTTATATAGCACAAATAGTCTCATTGGTTATTTTCAGCAAGATTGTATAGGCAACCCTGGAGGCTCAAAAGTGGCTTTCCTGCTAGGACTCTGATTTTCTGAAGAAGATTCAAAGAGAAGAAACTAGCACCCATCAGCATCCACATCTGATGATCCAATCACCATCTTATTGTCCATCTTATCTCCTCCTTGTCTTATCTTATCAACCAGGGCTAAAATAAAGGGTTTAAAAGGCAAAGAAAAAGGTTTCTTAAACCTAGGGTTTGACAAAACCTGCTAAAGCCAGCTTACTAACTGATGAAACTTTCACACCATAGGTCTTAGAAACACAACCTGAAGTTATCTTTCATACACCAGGTATTTTAATAAAATGGTTCACAAAGATCATTTTCCAAGATTATCAAATCAAATTATCAAATCACTATGTGAAAGTCAACTTTTAGTAATATAGAAAGAACTAGAGCAACAATAAAGGAAGTGGCTGATAATGAACCTACAGATACAGCTATATGGAAATCAATCAGACCAATGCATTTCAGTAGTAAAGTTAGAGATCTTCTCTGGAAAGCTATGCATAATACATTTAAAGTAGGATTATTCTGGGATAATATTTCTCACTTACAATCATTTGGTAAATGCCCTCTGTGTAAGGTCCCAGAGACTCTAGAACATATTATGCTAGAATGCATAGCCTTAGAAAGAATACATATTTGGAAACTAACTGAGCAGCTCTAGAGTATGAAATTTAGCCAATGGCCAAAAATTGAATGAGTATTAGTACTGGGATGCAATCTAATTAAGTTTCATGATAGTAAAGGAACTCTCCAGCCTCATAAAGATCGACTGTTCAGCATTTTAGTATCAGCTGCATAGTATATGATTTGGAATACATGAAATGAAAGACATCTAAAAAATCCTAATAAGATTTTTCAAGTTAACAAAATACATAATCAATAGCTTACAATGATAAATTCAATACTTCAACAAGATAGAATATTGACTAATAAATATAAATTTGATAAATTAGCTATTGACCACCAAGTAGTTCTAAATACTTGGAGTGGACTTCTGCTAGATGAAGACCCCTTGCTGGATAACTGGATAAATGAAAAGGGGGTTTTAGTGGGTATTCTACCTTTGAAGAAAGGTGTTGGATGAACCACACTAATAATAAGAGTCCCATACTGGTTTTAACATATGCATAAATGCATTTCCCCCTCCTGAGCTGACTGCATTTTCCTGGCTATTCCCAGTGCACCCGGCAGATGTTCTTTGGAATACTTCTGCAGACTGAAGTTCATTACTTCAAATGCTCAGAAGAGAAAAAAAGAAGAAGAAAAAATGAACTGAAATTTTTATATGGAATGTCACATCATGTCTCTACAGGCTAGCAGAGGAGTTCCCCTAACAAGGATGGTTGCTGCCACCTGATAAGAGTTGTTTAGTATTGGATATCACATATAAAGACTTTCTATTTTGATCAGAACCACTATTTAAGGGCAATTACTGCATGCTATCCAGTTTTTCTGATCTTGATGAATATTATATAGAATAGAAATTTATTACTCTGTCTATTTTTGATAAATTGATTGATCCTGATGGTATCACTGCTATTAAATAAATTATTTCTCTGATTTGGAATATGAAAAAAATCTGCCCAGAGATAACTAGTTTTAATGGCATTACTATTTCTGATGGCATCATCACTTCAACAAATATGTACTAATATCACATCGGGGTTTTGGTAAAAAAAAAACGGCCTGAAGCTGGACTTATTTGTGGCAGATACAGGCCTAAATAACTGGGGCCGATTGTTACGGCCCTGAGTTGGGTGCACATGACTTGGGAATTACCAAATAAGGTAATTTTCAAGTCACATGTGCTCAAATCCGCGGCCTTGATTTAAATCCAATCGGCTGACCCCATTTGGCGCCGGTTTTCCCACAAATAAGTCCTGCTTCGTGCCCCCGTTTTTACGCGAATCCCTGATGTGTATATCATTTACTACTAATATTAATGAATATCAAGAGAGTAAATCTTTACTGCTTGGCAGTATACAAATTGAGACAAAACTGAATTCAACCATATAAATAATTTTTATTAAGGAACCTATACTTAGTCGCAGCTCAAGGATTGGATCAGTCCAACCACTTTCTGGTTTACATAAAATCAAGTCAACTGGAGAAGCTAGATAGGTATTTGGAGAGCTCATAAGTCAACTTAATGACAGGATTAGTCATAAATATCCTTGACAACATGAGATTAACTATTACTACACATATCTCATCCAAGGATTGGTCTATTAAGCAAAGCCACCTGATGATCTTTTCAATATTCTAGAGTAAAAGTTGAACATGTTTTGGCGAGGATTTGAATTAGCTAAAACATGCTGTTTTTTGCTCTGACTTGTATGCCTATGAAGGAAGCAAACTTAGGTCTAATTTTTCTGTGAGGGGAACCTCCCTTTTGGCCCCTCGGAGATGATTCTGATTCTGGTCTGGTCCTCCATCTCTCCCGCACAATTACTGATCTGTCAACGCCCTCCCAACAGTTGTCCTAGGACCTTGTCTGCGACACCGCCCATGCCTGACAGCAGCAGCAGCTACAGACAAGCAGTATATAGTCAGCTACCTAGCAGGCGGACCCTTAGAGTTTCTTCTCTTTGGATCCTCCCCTGCTAGGACCTTGATCTCAGGCCTCCGGGGTTGCCCTTACATTTGGTGCAAATTTTTACAAAGGAAAATATTATAAAACCATCAGACAAACTCAATGCAGTAGAGCTTATTAGCTGCTGGAAAAACATATTTTTCTTTCTTTCTATTTCCCTTCTATCTTCCTTCCGAAAATTTGATGGAGCAGATTTTCTTGCAAGTTTTGCTATCAGCCATTGTGTCAATAGCCTATCATAATCTTTCATCTCTCCCCAGCATGTCGTCATAGCATGCATTGCCCCAGAAGCATGTAGCGTAGGTGACTCAGTTAGATAGGAGGCATAAGGGAATTAACAGGAGAGCATTGACCTCCAAGTCTGTATGCTACTGCTCTATAGCCAGCCGCCCTCTGGCACATTTCCTTTCCAAATTTTCCTAGTGGAGTGATGAAACACTTAGATTTCCTTCAGATCTACAGTACACACTATTTCTTGTTAAATCTGAGGCTGCTAATGAACTCTATTCTTGATTAATTTTGTAGTGAAAAGCCCTTTGAGTCTGCCAAAACAACCCTAAGAAAATAAATGGCTTTTTTGTTTGTTTTCTCTAGAGACAATGCAAAAATGGACAAGAAAACTGACACTGTGTCACAAACAACACCAATTCAGAGGATGCCAGTTGGCCAGTGAAGGCAAGCAAGAAGCACCGTGAAAGGATATCGTAAAGATGATGGAATTCGGAAGACTGGGGTACAAGACGAAATCTACTCTACTTATATACACTACTACCATGTGTTTACCATGCCTAATACGAGAGGCAATGACGTCATACTTTAGCCATGCCTTTACGTGCTGTTTGCCTCATGTCCAACTCCACGCTGTCAATCAACATCAGCATCGACATCTGATGATCCAATCACCATCTTATCGTCCATCTTATCTCCTCCTTGTCTTATCTTATCAACCAGGGCCAAAATAAAAGGTTTAAAAGGCGAAGAAAAAGGGTTTTTGAACCCAGGGTTTGACATTACCCCCCCTTCAAGGTCGACGTCCTCGTCGACAGAGGGCATTAAAGCGCGTTCATCATCCACCCCCCCTTCAGCCTCCACAAAATGGCCAGTCTGATAATTAAAGAGTTTCCGGGATGGATATGGGAGCTTCTCTTGCGTCGGCTTATAACGTTTGACCAGGTAATCCCAATGACCCTGGGCAAGGACAGGCACACTACGGGTCTTGACCACTGGGTTCTTCTGGTTGAACTCGTCTAACAATTCTTGAGAGTTCTCAAGCCTTTGCGCCGTCTCCCATGTATCCTCGCTATGCGGGTATCCCTTCCACTTCACCAGATACTGCCAACCACGACCACGTTTCCGCTTCTTCATAATCTCCTCAACCTCCCACTCCTCGTGATCATCCACAATGTCCGGTGGCGGCCTTTCTTCTCGCCGGTGGGGTGGTGGCTCGTGGTAGGGTGTCAGCTCTGTCTCATTGTAGACTGGATGAGCCTGACTAGAACCTGGCATCTTGAGTTCGTATGCCGAAGGTCCAACCTTTGCCTCCACTTTGAATGGTCCCACACGTCGATCGTTGAGCTTCTCGGATGGTCGATTCTGTTGCACTTTTGACCCTTCAACGTACACCTTATCTCCGACTTTGAACTCAGGTGCTGGTACACGTTTCTGGTCATAGTACT